ACTAGAACTTTGTTCACACCATGGACACCAACTTTCGCCCGAATGAAAAGTGGCTTGAGATGGTTCTTCATTGCAGGTTCTGGACGTTCGAAGAACGCATTTTGTTCCTCAACAGCCCCATTGTCCATCACATAGTAGCACACGGGCCTATGTTTCATTAAATCTGTGGTGTCTTCCTCCTCATATTCGTTGATTTTGGTTTCCTGCCCAAATTCGCAGGGAAGCACAGACACCACGTTACAGTTCAAGTTAAATGAAGACTCCCCCTCCGATTCGAAGTTATCTGTTATCATATCTTCGTCCTCTTCCGGGCCTGGAGTGTATTCCTTTGGTTCATCGCGTTGTTCTTCAGAGAAGAGCCTCCTATTGACTGGAGGTTTATCTTCAGTTTGATTTTTTGGTTTGTTGGTGCTAGATTCACCTTGGTTTTTCGTTGAAGTATCCCCTTTGCTTGCCACAGCTTCTCTCTCAGCCTTTCGAATCCTTTGCTGTCTGCGCCACTGGGATCTTGACATGGGGTTCCTTCCTTTGTAATTCTCTAATCTCACTTCCTCCCTTTTTTGTATGTTGAATTGCCTCCTGTATGTCACAGCATGGCGTGCATTTCGTTCAGCGTTTCTCCATCTATCTTTGCCTTTGTCATTTCTGACTTGTAACCATCTATCGGTTGGCACTTCAGCAGGGAGTTTGAAAGTCACTCTTCGAGCAGCCTTGGGGTGAGGGCTATCAGGCCTTCACTGTTTGTGTCTGTTGTCGAAACGTGGGCCCATCTGGGCAGTTTCTTGATGGTTCCAGCAAGGGGCGAAGGGAATCGTTTCGAAGGCCCTGGCCATGCTTTGGTCATACACAGCAGAACACCTTGGGCAAATCAAGCACTTGGTTGCCCCTTTGTAGCAGCGAAACACAAACTTCAGCAAACTTTCCCCAGCCTTGGGATAACACCTAAAAAGCTGGTTATCCTGGCGCCAATTGTTGCCAGTTCGAGCCCTCTGTACCCTTTCGAAATTCGCAGCAATTCTTTGATTGCAGAGGATGCTGCACCTAGGGCACAATATCATGCCTGAATCTCCTTTGTGGCATGTCATGAGATAATCTTTGAGACTAGCATCTCCAGTGTGATTATCCCCCATTCTATACTTTTCTTTTTCTAAGTATTTTTCCACTTCCTCCATCTCAGAGCGAGGCCTTTCCATATCCACCATATTTATTTCTACATCTCCCTCTTTAGCTTCATCATCTCCCCATCCTGTGGGTTTTATATCCTTAATTTGAACCTTCGAACTCTCTGGGGCAGAATATTTGACCAAATAGTCAAATTTTCCACTAGGTTCCCCTAGAGTGTCCCATATTTCCTTCTGAGGGGGAATTGGCTGCGTGATTTGGACTTTCTCCAATTCCAGCCTCAAGCCTTCAGTGACTTGTGTTAATTCTTGGTTTTGATTTCCCTGGCCTTCAGTAGCCTGGGTTTCTCCTGCAACAGCTACAGGTGCAGCAATCGAAGTCTCTGGCGTATTCTGGATGTCTTCAGTGACCTCCTCGCTGACTTCGACCATCACCCAGTTTTCAACTCCAGTACCCTTCTCTTCTGTTAGGGCGTCGCTTTGATCAGTTTCCACCATGTTGACCTCTCCAATGCATGCAGGCTCGGAGTAGTTGGTGTCTGCGACGTCCAAGGGATCTTCGTCCACTTTCATCTTCGCCTTATCAGCAAACTTTAGTCTGCCATCTTTGATCGCGTTTTGAATCAGGTCCCTGAAAAGAAAACATTGTGAGGTCTTGTGGCCTAGGAAACTATGATATTTGCAAAATCCCCTCTTCTTTCTCTGATCCAAAGGAGGTATTTTGACATTTGATGGCACAATTAGTTGGCCATCTTTGACAAGTAAGTCAAAAATCTCGTCACATTTAGTGACGTCGAAGGTATAAACCTTCTTTGGAAATTTGTCACTTTTTTCATTTTCAACAATATCTTTCCCTTTTGTGGGAACTAACATTTTGCAGGAATAAGGCGGGGCCTGTTTTAATTCAGCGAGGTCAATTTCGACCTCTTCGAATTCGAATTCAGGATATTCTTCTGCTTCCTCAGTCCCAACATAGGAAATCCTTTCTTTCTTGCTATTCTTAAAGACTCTGGCTTTTTCGGCCTTTAGTCTTTCGACCTGTCGAACCCTATCGGCTAACTGAGCCATATCCCTCAAATACTGAGTGTCTAGTTTCTTTTGAATAGAATAATCCAAGCCACCAGCGGCCATTTCGACTAACTCATGTTCAGGCACTACTGTGTAACATCTGGATTTCAAAAGCCTAAATCTATTCAAATAATCATCTATGGGTTCGGTGAACTTTCTCTTAACACTGGCCAGTTCCTTCAAACTTATTTTCGACTGTCCCATGTAGAATTGTTCATGGAATAATCTCTCTAAGAGAGCCCAAGTGTCAATAGACCCAGGAGGCAAAGTGGTAAACCATGTGAAGGCGTTTTTTGTCAAGGAACTTGGGAAGTATTTGATCCTGAGATCTTCATTATTGGCTATATCTCCCGCTTCAGTTAGATATCTCGCTATGTGTTCGACTGTTGACTCATTGGTATCCCCAACGAACTTTGTAAATTTAGGGACTTTATATCCCCTTGGTAAATCAGTATGCATTATGCAATCCAATATAGGAGAAGCGTAATTTGGCCTCCTCATTCCTGTGTTGAGGCCATTCTGGGCCATGACCCTCTCTATCATGGTGGTTAGGTTGTTTTCTGCCAAGATGTTATCGTTTCGAATTCTATGAACGACGGCATCGGCATCTTGATTTCGACCAACCAAAACAACTCCCCTAGGTTGTTCTTCTCGAACCTCTGGGGCTTCTAGCCTTTCGACCCTTGCCCCTGGTTCCATAATTTCCCTTTGTGGGCCCGGGATTATTGGGGCTTCTAACCTTGGTGCCCTGGCCCCTAAGTTAACTTCTTCTCTAGGTGGTCTATAAATCGGGTCGTTAGCAATTTGTTCTATAACAGGCGTGTTTGTTCGAAATCCCGCCTGATTCTGCCTACGCCTTTCTGGGGGAGCGAAGAAATCTGCTATTCGACTCATATTGTCAGCGTTTTCCCTGTTTGTCACAGTCACATTTTGCACTATTGGGGCAAATATCTCCTGCAAGGTTTGTGCTAACACCCCTATCATATTATGGTTACTGTCATCCATCAATTGCCTAAAAGCCAACTGGTTGTCTGTGGTTAGGATAGGCATTATGCTATAACCCACCGACCCTTGGTTATTTGTCATAAACTGATTCGCCCCAGACCCAGACCCTAGTTGTGGAGATGAATTTGACGTGGAATTGTGTAAACCTGCCATAAAAGATGTTGGCATTCCGTAAGAGGAATTTCTGGTTCTATTCCCATCGAAACCAGGTGGTCTAGTTAATGGGGTGGCGAAATGGGATTGTGTCCCTGATGGTGGAACGAATCCCCCAGGGTAGCCAATAGTTCCAGTATTTCCTAAGATCGAACTATTAGTTGATATGCCACTTACTCCATTGGTGGCTATGTTACTGGTCGAAGATGCAACAGACTGTGCATTCGAAGGGATTACATTAGATGTTCCGATCGAAGTGGACGCGTTAGTGCCTGTTGTATGTGGGCCACTTTGGTCCCCTTGTTGATTGTCTGAATTAGACATTTTGTCCAAACGTTTTCTTCTGGATAAAGGTTGGTTGCTGTTGGTTATCTTACCACTTCTCAGGTTCATAAAACAGCAAACTTCTTAGGTTCCAACGTTTTTGTAATGGTTATGTCTCAACAATCCTTAATTCTGATATCCAATTATATGTCCCACCGGGTGTGCCAATTTGTTTCCAGTGATTTCTAGTAAACAACCGCTAGTCTTCCAAACTATCGAATAATCTTTCTTACTATTATTCAATTCCTCTGGTAACTCACAGGATCGACTAGATTGATCCTAGGACTCCTTGGATATTGAGGTTATTCTCACAATCGAACAGATATTCATGGTTGATATTGTATAGGTGTTTGGCTTGTTTCGATCTCTCTCTCTCTAAGAGTCTAAAGATGTAATCAAAATGTGTGTGAAAACTAAGTTACACGAATAAATGCTAATTGTAATGCTAATTGTAAAGACATATAAAACTGCATAAAAATGAAGTGAATGGCTTCGACTTACAAAACAGTTAATATAAAGGATTTCTGGAGCGTAAAAGTTTGAAGTGTGAAGAAAGCGTTTAATGCAAGAAATCTGTAAATGATTTTAAGTAAACATATGCGTTCGAAGGATAAGATTTGAAGGTAAAGGTATGGAAAATATGACAGTTTTCTGAAATATAAAGTGCTCGAAATATAAAGTGCTCGAAATATAAAGAAAACATTAAAATGTAAAACTTTGAAGAAGAGATTTCGAAGTGAAAAGACTGTAAATAAGAAAACTTGTAAATGTTGTTTGACAAAAGGAATAAAGGAAAGTACTGGAAATGGTAAAAGGTTTTCATTAAATCAGAAATACATGGTGCTATCATACATACATTTCTCTTGCATTCGTTTCCCTTGCCATGTGGTAGTTTGAATGTTATTGAGTATTTTGTATAATAGATATGACACACGAAATCCTAATACTAAGACTTCTATTTATACTAATTCGGCCATAACGGTCTTGCTATAGGATTATGCCACGTTTCGAACATGCAGGACAATGCTTCTTTCATCTTTCCACGTGTCCCCAAATGCTCCAACACATAACTTTCAAACTTTGAAAGTCCCGCTTCCATTTGAATTTTAAATGCTTTGGTGTTTCTCCGTTTTGAACGCTCTTCCCAGACACAGCATCGCTGTTGTTTCGAAACTCCTTTAGATATGTTCCCATAATTGTCGTTCGAAGCTCCAAGCTTTGACACACTTATTCGAAACACTGCTTTTGCTATTTCGAAATATGACGTTTAATTCCATTTCGATCAAAACGTTTAACTCATTTGGCTTCTAAATAATATTATCAAAATCTTCAGCCAACAGGTATGTCGATAGATCTTTTCAACATTGGTAGTTCTGCTTGAGGAAGCTCTGTAAATTTGCAATATTCATTATTGTTGATCGGTCGAATATAGTGATCATAATTAACATTCAAACCTTCCATTGTGATGCAAAGTGTTACTTCATTGACGGGTTCAGTCATGGCTCACAATGGAAGCTTTGTTAGTTTTGTTGGTTTTATTTTTGTTATATTATATGTTTTAGATTTTGAAGTTATATTTTTGGTACGATATTTTGGAATTTTGATGATACTATAAAATTTAGATTTTTATGGTACATGTAAAATGTATTTGATGATAATGTACAATTTTTGGCTCTCTGATTTCAATGTGATGGTACTATAATATATGATTGAACATATGATACTAACATAATTCGATTAAATTTTGTAACGTATTAAATAATGTCTTTTTTTTTGTTAGGCATCAAAATATATTAATTATTTCTAATAATAAAAAAATAATAAGAAAATATATTTATAAACATAAAAAAAATACATTGGTTTAGTAGTAGAGCAAGTTGCCCATGAACTAAGGGGTCATTGGCTCAATCCTTCATTGATGCAAAATTTTAGTATTTTTGCCTCATGATTTAGTGAAAGATATGGTTTAATCTCAACTTTTCTTTTTAAATCTGATTGTTGTTATTCATTCTCACATTCTCTTATATATTATTTTATTATTTTATCAAAAATTTTATTTTGATTATTTTCATTTTAATCTACAAATATAAAACTATTGGAAAATTCAGTAATTTCTGCGCCATGTTTCTTTTGAATATCGACGAAGATCAAATGCAAATTTTGTTACATACACATATGTACAAGAAGCGTATTTTTAATGATTTTATTTGCATTTATTAAAAAAAACAAGTGATGAACAGCTATTTCATTAACTTTCACCATTAACGTTGCAAAAGTATTGCATATATGCATTTTATTCATTCATATGTATTTAAGAGTACAATAACACATCATATATGTGTTTTATTCACTACGTAATACAACAACACATCCTAGATTGTTTCCCATAACACATACCACCTTTCTTATATCCGAAAAAAGAGCATGTGTTTGTGCAATCTATATTGTTTGTGCAAGTCCCGTTGCCGACGCACTTATATATTGGTTGTGGAATCATGGCATCTAAGCTAGTTATGAATCCTGCAACCAAAATAAAGATAAAATTTATTAAGGATTATGATTTCAAATTACGACTTTAAAACTATGTTGAGGAAGCTTACACACCTCAACTTGTTCATAGTTAATTAATGGAAAAAAAATAAAATAGGTGATATAAGAATAACTTGTTGATATAACCTGAGAGCAAAATAAATACAACGCCCAAAATTCCCCAAAGTCGATATTGATTGATGTAAGAAGCCATTGCATAGAATTTCACTTTGTGAGAGTGCTGTTGATGTCTAAAGTAACATATGCTCATTATATATAAAGTTGAATTTTCATTTTATATCTTTTTCAATATTTACCTTATTCAAAATGTTGAATTTTTATTCTTTATTTTTTGTTATATTTTCCTTAAAATGTTATATATATATTTTAAGCAATTCTTATATAAAATGTTATATAAAATGTTATAAATGTTGAATTTTTATTCTTTATTCAAAATTTCTAAACAATTCTTTTATATGATTTAGTGAAAGATATGGTTTAATCTCAACTATTCTTTTAAATCTCATAGTTGTTATTGATTCTTACATTCTCACGTTGTCACGATGACAACCATACAACCTTACCTACTTATCATTATGATAGCAAGTCTTGATAAATAATAATAATAATATAAAATTTACCGACTACTAATAATAATAATAATATATGATAATATAATATTTAGCTAATAATAATAAGTTTTATTAAATTTACTCTAAATTAATAAATAATAATAATAATAGTACTTTTAGTTGGATTAGTGTGATCGTCTTGTATGGCTTGTCTTTTGAATTAATTCATTGTCTTTGATTCAAAACACGTAAGTAATAATAATATAATATTAAGCTATAATAATAATAATAATAATAATAATAATAATAATAATAATAATAATAATAATAATAATAATAATAATATAATATTTAGCTATAACTATTAACAAAAATATCATATATATAAATAATTTATAATAGTTATAAAATCATGTTCTTCTCCTTTATTTTATGTATAATATATCTTATTTGTCCCTAAAAAATATTTAGTGACTAGTATTTATTTAGAATCCTAAAAATTACACAAACCAATTAAATTATATATTTGATATAAAATCACCTTGTTAATTGGTTAATATTCATAATAAATTTAAATATTTGAATAAAATAAATATATTGTGATTATGTATTGTTAATAACAAATAAGATTTTTAGTTGGTCAATTTTTATAAGTGATTTGGATTTTATTTGCAAACAAATAAAATAAAAACTCATAAACATAGAAATGTATTGGTTTCATAATATTAAAAAACCAGTATTATATAATTAATTATTTCAATAACAATTAATCATATTTATTGGTCAATTTTTCTAATTAATTTGAATTAAAATATTTTTAAATTACTCTTTTAAAATGAGTTATGTGATAGAAAATAGTTTGATGATTCTAATATTAAATATGGACACCATTATTATAAATCTTCTTCAACGATGTATGCATGGTTTTTGATTTATCTTTATTTGAATTTTAATATATAAATTATTAAATTAATAATTTTATAGTTTTCTTAAGTCTAAAATTTGATCATATATGTTGTTTAAGGTAACACTCCAAAATCTTGCATTCTAACAATGTGTTTGAAATATTTCGATTTAATAGGAGTTGAACATAATCGTTGCTAAAGGTAGTTGACAAAGGTAATAAGCCTTTGATTTGAAGTATTCATATTTAGAGGTAGGAGCGCAATATAATTACATTAGTAGAATCTCTAATGGTTCAGATGTATATGGTAGTAAATGATTTATTTCTGTTAATGCTACAAAAAAATTTAGGTTATTTTTTTAATGTTAAATAAAAATTCGTCTTTAAAATCGTCGCTAATTTTACTTTAAATAGTAAAAATCATCGTTAAATTGTAAAAGAGACTAAAAGTTAAAATTAAAAATTTTAAAAGTACTATTTTTAAGAAAAATTTTGAAAACTCTAAAAATTAAATATGATACATTTCAGAGACAAAAAAATATTTAACCGTTTATTATAATGATTCAATTCTCAAGCTTCATTTGCATTACACACTTCTACGTGTTAGATTGAAAATATTAATAATATTATAATGATTTAAATGTCATTTAAATAGTTAATATATTTCTGTGATTATATAAATTTAGATTTTTGAAATTATATCTTAATTTTCTATATTTTGTACATATTTTATCTTAATAATATCTTTATCAAAATAAATTTTGTTTCAATGGTTTAGATTAGATATTTCTATACTCTGTATTTATTTATCTTAATAATTATATAACTATCATATAACTATTTAAAAGAAAATTATTATATTCTTTTTTTATTTAGTAAGTCAAATCAAACTTACTTAGTTAAAAGTATTTTTAAATATATCTAAAAATATTCCATGGTTTAATATTGTTGGTATTCCAAAACTAAAGAAATTTTTTTTTTTGAATAACCAAATATTAAAAAAAAAATCGCAAATAACCGCGTTTCGGAAAAAATTACGCAAATAATCATGTTTCAGATGACTCCCCAAAGGAGGAGCCATCTCACTTGGCGCCTACACCCATTATTTAAGGGGAGGCACCATCTCACTTGGCGCCTATGTGCTTAGGGCATGCCCTAAGTCAAGTGAGATGGCGCCTATGTGTAATTCTAGGGCAAATTTTGCTTTTTTTTTTCGGTCCGGTGCGTTGCGTATTGGATACAAGATCAATAAAATTGACTTTTTATTAAAAAAAAATAATTACATTCAAATGTATTACATTAAAAAAACAGATAAAAAAACAGATAAAAAAAACAGAAAAAAAAACAGATAAATCAGTGATCCCCCGGAACCCGGTAATGACCCCCGATTCCGCATCCCCGTCCTCGCCTTTCCCGTGCTGGGTGCCGTCGCGTTTCCTACTATGGCAGGGTCGATGGCCCAGCGAAGTCAATGCGTTCTGGATCCATAAAATCAATCAGATCTCCATATCTAGAAGATCCGCTTTGGTACAGTCGGTTACCCATACCCTCAAAGTTTGGTCGTGTTGGCGGTGGATGGGGTTCCATGGTGGGTCTGTAGCATTGATCGTCTGAGTACGGTGAGTAGAAAGGAAATGGATCTTGGGGTGTTTGGTATTGAGGATGTTGGGTGGTTTGGTGATATTGTGGTTGATGGTAGGCTGGGTCGATTTGTTCGTAATCTTCCGACATTCCCAGATCAGGGCTAAGGCTGGATGTTGAGGGGCCCATATTAGGATATACAGAAGACTGAAATTGTGTGTGGGGTATGCGGGTGTGTTGGTATTGTGATTGGTATTGTGGTTGGGTATGAGGCATATGGGGGTATTGGTACTGAGGTGGTGATTGTGGTTGGTTGTGGGGCATTTGAGTGTAATTGTGTTGTGGTGGGGACTGTGGTTGGGTGTTTGTGGTTCTGTTTCTTCTGGGGGGTTGGTGGGAGGTTGATGTGTTTTGGGTTTGTTGTTGGGGAAACGAGGGTTGTTCCCATTGTGTGCGTGGGTCAACCAAGTACCTTGGATGAGACACGTGCATCTCAGGGTTACTAACCGACCTGTACCAAGATAAATATTGATCCGTGTGTCGCATATTACCATGATTAAGGAAAACCGGGAATTGCAAGACATATCGGTGAAACCTCTGCCACATCTTACACCATTCCGGAGCAAAGTCTTTCCAGTTGGTAAGACCCCACTGGGCGTCGACCCTTTTGAGATGCCATGGGGACAAACAAGTTGGATCACTTGGTATCTCTTGATGCATTACGAACTGCATCTTCACACGGTCGCTGTGGTGCATCTCCACAACGTTGAACCGAATGATTGCAGTCTTCGCGGTCCAAATTGCTGCATCCTCGGGGTTTGGTTCATGGCCCAAACCTAAATATGGTCTCCAGACGAACTGCGAAAAAATTTAAACCAGGTTAACAAAAACGTAATATATAAATAATTTAAATGAAGAAAAGTTTAAAGGTACGACGTACATCATCCGGGCCTAAGTGATCCAATAGATTGCGGTATAGTGCGACATTGAATCTTGGATTCTTGCCGTAATCCATACCCCTCACGCAATACCTATAGGAAATGAAAAACATTTTATTTTTAGCATATATTTGGTGAAGAGATGAATAGTAATAAATGATATAAGAGGTGTCGCCATCCCAATTGGCGAATAAGAGGAGTCATTGGTTGCAGACTAGGCTCATGCTACGTGACAGCCTTTGGGATGCCATGCTTGAGTGCATGTAACACTATTGGAGATGATGGGAGGAGACTTACAAGATACAGTGTAGGTGCAGAGTAGGCGCATGCTAGGTGGCAGCCTAGGGGGTTACATATCTGCATGCATGTAACACGATTGGACATTAAGGGAGGCGCCATTGGACTTGGCGAAAGAGTACAAAAATGAAAGGTGTCGCCATCCCAATTGGCGAATAAGAGGTGTCATTGGTTGCAGACTAGGCTCAGGCTACGTGACAGCCTTTGAGATGCCATGCATGTAACACTATTGGCAGCCTTGGGGGTTACATCCTTACTTAATTGAAATTCAGTATGAGATTTTTAGTCTTACGTTTATCATAACATTGATTCACTTAATCTGTCAAACCTTCCAACCTTCAAACGTTCATACAATCAAACCTTCAAACCTTCAAACAATCAAACATACAAACCTTCGAATAACTCATAAACTTCAAACATTACAACCTTCAAACCTTACAACCTTCAAACCTTCATACAATCAATAAACTTCAAACATTCCAACCTTCGAATAACTCATAAACTTCAAACATTCCAACCTTCAAACCTTCAAACAACCCTACACAATGGCCTCTGCACCACAATATGTCGTCAAAGCACATTTCAACGGTGAGACATACATTTGTCCCACCACTTGGTTTTTGTTTAGAGACACAGACAACATCTGATTTCTCTTAAACGGGAAAGCCAATTTCTCATACTTCAAAAAACGATTGGAGGCCAAACTTGGACGAGGCCCGGTGACACATATATTTTATCAGAATCCAGTTTTTTATGGAAACAACCAAATAATATTTTATAAGGTTGAAGTTCAAGATGACGAGGATCTCCAAAATATGTTTTCCAGCCATGTGTATTCTGGGTACGACTCTATTGAGTTGTACATTATGCTGCGAGAGTCTCAGGTGACACAAGTGGTTGATCCTTTGGAGAATGAACAAGC